TTAAGGGTTAAGGCTTAAGGGTTAAGGGTTTAGGGTTTTGGGTTTTGGGTTTAGGGTTTTTGGTTTAGGGGCTTAGGGTTTAGGGGTTTAGGGTTTAGGGGTTTTGGGTTTAGGGGTTTAGGGGGTTAGGATTTTAGGGTTTACGGGTATATTGTTATATGTAGATGTATTTTGTACTATGTATTATGTCTTATGCACTATGTACGTATGTATGTATGTATGTATGTATGTATGTATTTATGCATAGATAGAGAGATAGATAGATAGATAGATAGGTAGGTAGGTAGGTAGAGAGAGAGAGAGAGAGAGAGAGAGAGAGAGAGAGATGGAGAGAGAGAGAGAGAGATATAGAGAGACAGAGAGATAGACAGATAGATAGATAGACAGACAGATAGATAGATGGATAGATCTGCCGATAGATAGATAGACAGATAGATGGACAGATTGATTGATTGATTAGATAGATAGATGGATAGATGGACGGATACACATAATGTGCAAGAGTCGACATGCAAGAGTCTCACCTATCTCCTGTTACATATATGATAGTTGTATGTACATGTAGGAATATCTATATTTTCTATTCGTATATGTGTAGATGGGGCCCTGAGACGGGTCGGAGCTAGCTGGAAAAGGACTTGGGATGGTGTCTGCGGCTTGGGTTCAGGGCTTAGGGCTTCGGGGAACTTCGGATGTGGAACTCTGAATGAACCCTAAACCCTAAAAAATTCACCCTCAAAGGTGGTGCGAGTGTGTGAGCGGGAGCCTCTGTACTTGCGCCTTGGCCTTGCTGAGGCGAAAGCCCTCTTAAGTTCTGAACTCTAGACTCTCAACCCCAAATCCTCAACCTGAGTCCTAGCAACCCTGAACCCGAAATCCGAACCCCCGCAAACCCCTAGAATCCCTAAGCCCTAACCCCTAAACCCTAAGCCCTAAAACCCTAAACCCTAAAACCCTAAACCCTAAAACCCTAAAGCCCTAAACCCTACACCCCAAGCCCTAAACCCTAAGCCCTCTCCTCGGCCAGTTGCCGGCGGAGCAGCCGCCGGCGGCGCCTGAGTTGGCCCACGCCGGGAAACCAGGGCAGGGCCTGGGAAGAACTTGCGGGTTTAGGGGTTTTAGGGTTTTAGGGAAAAGGGTTTTAGGGCTTTAGGGCTTTAGGGCTTTAGGGTTTCGGGGCTTTTAGGGTTTTAGGGCTTTAGGGTTTCAGGGTTTAGGGCTGTAGGGTTTAGGGTTTTAGGGTTTAGGGTTTAGGATGGGGGGAAGGCTCCCTTTTTGCGGGGGCTCGGAAGGGGATCTTGAGGCTTGTTGGGCTTGGGGTTTTTTAGGGTTTTAGGGTTTTAGGGTTTAGGGTTTTGGGTTTTCAGGGTTTTAGGGTTTTAGGGTTTTAGGGCTTTAGGGTTTAGGGTTTGGGGGTTTTTAGGGTTTAGGGTTGTTGGTGGGGGTTTTGGATTTTGGCTTGGTGGGCGGTGTAAGGCAAGGCCTCAGCAGCTTGGGGGTTCCCTTCAGCAAAGAAACCCGGAAGCCGTCAGGGGACATCCATTTAGCAGCTCGGCTCCAGCTATGTCCCCGCACCCAGCTTTTGGCTTTTTGGGCACTGCCTCATGGGTAAGTTCAACAGCCTGCTAAGCGAAACATCAGAGACCCTGTCGGCAACTGCGCACATCGACAGGCAGCGCACGGCAGAACCTCCCTAAACCCTAAACCCTAAACTTTCCTAAACCCTAAACCCTAAACTTTCCTATACCCTAAACCCTAAACTTTCCTAAACCCTAAACCCTAAACTTTCCTAAACACTATCATAAACCCTAAACTTTCCTAAACCCTATCATAAACCCAAAACCCTGAACTAACTACCCGAAACCTCTGCTTGGCTTCCCCGACGCGCTCCGCCGGCGTGGGACGAAGCTCCGCCGGGATCTGCAGGCTGCGACCCAGGGCTTAAGAGGGTTTTAGGGTTTAGGGTTTAGGGTTAGCTCTTCAGCGTGCAAAGTATACTTTTTTTCTGGGTTTAGGGTTTTAGGGATTTTTAGGGTTTCAGGGTTTTTAAAGGTTTTAGGGAGTTTAGGGCTTTAGGGGTTTAGGTCTTTAGGGTTTTAGGGCTTTGAGGCTTTAGGGTTTTAGGGTTTTCTGGGTCTAGCTTCAGGGCCGTAGGGCTTCAGGTTTCAGGGCCTCAGAGTTTCAGGGTCTCAGACTCTCAGGCTTTACGGGCTTTACATTACAGGCCTGCAGGTCAGCGAGGTGTTCTTCGGAAAGAAGCCCTAAACCCTGAGCTCAAAAACCCTAGAAGCCCTAAATCCTATCTCTCTCTCTCTCTCTCTCTATATATATATATACACATACATACATACATACATACATACATACATACATACATACATATACATACATACACACATATATATATACACACACACACACCCTCACCCCCTAAAGCCTCTAAGCCCGAAACCCCCTCGGATTCCACAGCTGAGAGCTTCAGCGGTGACGTTTTCCTTTTCGACAGTGGTGCCGAGAGGTTCCCTATAGAAGCTAAGGGTTTAGGGCTTCGGGTTTAGGGTTTAGGGTTTAGGGTTGCTCAAGGAATCGATGTCTGAGGTGTTTTCAGCCAAAAACACGTAATGGGCCGATATCTGAAACAATAACAAGGCCGAGCAGAACCAAGATGAAGTTGCGATAGAGTAGAGTTGAAAATGGCAAAAAACAATTTGTTGACATTGCTTTTCTTCCAGTTGCTGGAGCCCAAACAGGACTTCAAATAGATCTTCAACACACACTGAAACTTTAGTAGAGATTAATGCCTCGTTCGTATTTCCCATAGAGCTTAGGCATGGAGCCCATATAAGTTTTAACTAGGCGGTTTTTAATACAGCAATCTTAATACTGTATATAGACTGTAGATAGAGCAGGTCTGAGAAAGTAGTGTCACATGTTTCTTGCGTATTTCGGGGGGGGGGCAGGTGCCTGGTATGCGCGCAGTAGTGCTCAGGTGATGTTGGGGCATGGCAATCTGTAGCCGTCCCAGGAACCCTCACGACCCTTGCCCCACATCCGGGAGAGCCTCCTTGGGAGGCAGCACACAGCTTTTGCCTGACAGCGATGGCGCGGGCGTGCCTCACGTCTCTTTACAGCCCGCATGGCCAAAGCTTTTACGAAGGCAGGGTATTATCAATCACAGCCGTGGCGTGCCCATGAGGCATGGCATTGTGGTAGGAAGTGGCATGTGAAACGTTGCTCCACTTGCTCACCGACCCTTGCAAGGTCTGCCGGACCGAAGCCCCGAAACGGCCCAATGGTCCAACAAGTCCGCCCCGACGAGTTCCCACCCCTCCTGCGCTCGGCGTTCGCTGGCGGGCAGCTGCTGGCACCTGCCCGAGGTCGGTTGCTGAGCTCGTGCTGCAAAGGCTGAGGGCTTACGATCCTTCACGAAGGACATCATACTGTCATATAAAAGAATATACAATATCTAACCCATATAACAGAACACCTTTCAGATCCTAACCTCGGACCCGAAAAGCCAGCCACCTTGCCGCCCGCGCTGCCCGGAGGCGTCAACACGGAAGCGTGCCTCCAGCCTTGCTATGGGCTCTCCTTATGGAATTTTTGTTCAAGCTATCACGGTGCCGAAAGCTGCACTTTAATGTAGCTGCCGAGCTTCTGGTACTCTACCCATGCAAGAGTCGGACACCTTAACTTCTTCAACGCCTCCTGGGGAGTGTCACAGTTGACTCCCAGGAATTTACAGAGTCTTGTGGTTAGTTTTGAATATGTTTACAACTAGGCACTATAGTCTCCCTCAGAATAAGGCTAATTTACAAGAGTCACCTCTTGAGTCATCACTTCGAAGCGAAACAGAGAAGTTCCCTTCAATCTTGCTCTGCCATAAACCCTAAACCCTCAACCCAAAATCCAAAACTGAGAATCCTAAACCTCCTAAACCCTAAACCCTAAACTTCTTTTCTGGCTTCAGCTTGGGCATGCTCCGAGCAGCCACCAGGGCGAGGCCAACTGGTTTTACGCTTGTTGGTGCTTAGGGGTTTAGGGTTTTTGGTGGTTTTTGGAGTCTTTGGGTTTAGGGTCTAGGGTTTAGGGTTTAGGGTGTTTGGTGGTTTTGGAGTTTTTGGGTTTAGGTCTAGGGCCTAGGGTTTAGGGTTTCGGAGGTTAGGGGTTTAGGGCTTAGGGCTTAGGATGTAGGTTTTTTTGGAAGGGTGGGTTTAGGGGTGTTGGGTTTTTCGGGGGTGTGTTTAGCCCAAACCCTAAACCCTGAGCGTGTAAACCCTAGACCCCAAAACCTTAATAAAACCCGAAACCTAAGTCCGAAACCCCCCAACCCCAAAAAACCCGTAAACCCCCCAACTAACCGTAGAGACTGGAGCTTGAGCTTCGGGCCAAAGCCCAGCCCGGGCGCGGCAGCCACCAGGGTTTGGCGATCCTCGAGCCAACACCCGGGTCTCCGAATTAAGGTCCTTTAAAAGGAGCTCAACTCCCAGGGTTTAGGGTTCAGGGCCCAGGGTTTAGGGCTTCGGGGTTTAGGGTGTTTTGGGGTTTATGGGTTTTAGGGGTTTTAGGGTTGTGGGGTTTTAGGGGTTTTCGGGATTTTAGGGTTTAGGGTTTCCGAAACGGTCCCTAACGGGAGCTCAACTGGGTCTCCTAAACCGGAGCAACCGTCCCCAAAAGGAGGTCTCCGAAGGCTATAGGGCTGCTTCTTCAGGTCTCTTCGGATGGGTGTCAGTGGAGCAGCTGCCGATCGCGAGGAGCAGATCCCTCATCAGGAAAACAAACATCATGATGCCCGACACCACAGCTTGGCTTTTCGGGCGTTCCTCGGTGCTTCGTGTTCTGCAAGTGGAGAACAGCAAAACGAACAGTAATAATCGCAGTAATAATGATACCAGAAATAATAAAATACCAATCATACCCCAAACCTTAAATAACCCCTCAACCCTAAACTCTAAGCCCTTAATAAACAAAACCGGCTTTTGAACCCAGCAAAGCTCTCCTCAAAGGGCCGCCCCCCCGTGTTGTCCTGGGCGCACTTCGCGCGCAGAGGGGGCTCAGTGGTGCTAAGGAGGCTTCGGCTTGCGCTATTGGGGGGTTTAGTGGGGTTTAGGGATTTTTGGGGTTTAGGGGGTTAGGGATTTTGGGGGTTTAGGGGTTTAGGGTTTAGGGGTTTAGGGGTTTAGGGTTTATGGGTCCAGGGTTCAGGGTTGAGGGGCTTAGGGGCTTATGATTTTAGCGTTTAGGGGTTTAGGGCTTATGGGTCCAGGGTTCAGGGTTGAGGGGCTTAGGGGCTTATGACTTTAGCGTTTAGGGGTTTAGGGCTTATGGGTTTAGGGTTACAGGGCTTTGCGTAGGATTTCCAGGGCTTTTTGCAGGAATTCCTTGGATTATAGGCCGGATTCTGGTACGGGGCTTCGAAGGATTTGTAGGGCCCATTCCTTAAGGGAATCCTGTTGAAAGACTCACCACCAGAGAACGGGCCACGCCTGCACCAGCCAGCCAACGTTGTGCTGCGACGTCTCCGGCCAGAGTTCGAAGTGGCCGGGGGCGCCCGTCCTTTGCAGCTCGCGAGAGCTTAGGGCTGAAGGGACGCCCGGGATGAGGGGTCCAGAATAATTACAGCACAGAGGGATACCCAAAAAGAGCCTCCAGAATTAGACCTAAGACCCTCTCTGGGCTTTTGAGGGACTTGTCACTTCTGGAGTAAACGCAAGGCTCAGCACTGGAGTGGGGAGCTATTAAGACGACCCCAACCGTGTTCAAGCACTACAGCAGCGCCGCATCTTGACAGGAAGGCATACGGGCATACGATAAGCCAAAATGTCTCTTTCCTAGCGCCTGAAGGTTCACGGATAGTGGTGAGCACGGTTATGAATGCCACAAGGCCCTATCCGTCGCCCTGAACCCTGAACTCTGAGGAAATGGAGCCGCGTGGCTTGGCAACTAGGTGAGCTCGGAAATTCCTCGCGGTCTCCTGGCAAAGCGGGAGTTGGGGTTCAGGGGCCTTGAGACGGGCTTTCGTATCTCTGCAGGATCAGAAGACAAGGAGGTTTAGGGTTTAGGGTTTAGGGTTTAGGGAGGTAACATCCCCAAGAGCAGTACTAACGGCTTCTTACTCCCTGCTCTTCATAGCCGTCACGTCACCGTTTCAAGTCCGCGCTCCTCGTCGAGGAGAGCGTCTGCCGCACCCTTTTCTCCTGGATCCACCTCAAGGCGGGGCAGAGGGAGCCGGAAGAAGGGTGTTCAAAGGATCGGGCAACAGACAAGCAGGGTAATAACTAAGGGTACTACACAGCTTAATAGAATAGCGATTGCTTGCAACACATGCAAACTTAATTGACGCATTTGCAGCCGTACAGAAATCCTTCAAGTATGTGTAATTACTCAACCTATCCTCCGGCAGTCTGATGGCTTGCCACTGTAGCCGAAACTGCGCACTCTCTCAAAACATCGCAAACGACACCGAACGAACCCCTTACACTCCCCTTCTAGCACAAGACCCCAGATTCCTTACGCTTCCCCCTCATTGTGCAAGACCAGTACCCCAAATCCCAGACTCGTAATTTTCCTCCTATCCCATACCCTGAAATTCTGCGTCTAGAGGTACTAGAGTTTTTTTGGGTTTAGGGTTTTCGGTTTAGGGGCGTAGTACTAGAGATCCCGGCAACCACGATGAAACCCTCATGTGCAAGGTCAAGGCTGTGCCAAACTCAAGGGCTTTTCTAATCCCGACAACATTGGCTCGCCCTTGGTAGATCAAATGAGTCGCCATGAATCCGAATCATGTGTTGTCCGACGCGAAGGAAAGCAAGGCAGAACAACGCACAAAACGGCTTCTCCCAAGAGCAACTGCGGTAACACTGGGGCGATCGGTGAACGCCAAATCCGGGGGTCAGGCCTGATTCGGCTTCTTCGTGACGTCGAGGGCACGCACGGCCAGCCGCAGGGAGAATTCCTTGGCCGGGCGTAGGGGCTTTGGGGTTTGCTTCAGGATCCTATGGTTTAGGGTTTAGGGTTGCAGGGCTTGTGTACAGGGTTTCGATCTGATGTCGATCGTAAGCTTAAGCTGAGCCCCCTCCTGCAACCGACGTCGACAAGCGCATGAACTAGAGTTGAAATTGCAACCCGGCAAAAGTGAGGCGATCCCTGGGAACCTTACAAGATTCGGGCGCATGACCATGTCCCTCAAAAGCACATGAGCATGACTGCTGCTACAAAACAGCCCCCCTCCGATCCCACTGGCAGCCAAGACAGATACAAATCTGCCGGGCGTCTGCGTTCTTTGGCGCCCGAGACTGCTCTTTGCGGATGCGCAGCCTGAAATGCGTAGCAGTTGATAAACTGAACCTATAGGGGTAGTTCTCCAAATTAGGGTCCCTTTTAGGGTCCTTTTTACAAGGGTGCCGTACTATATTGGGGGCATAAAAAGGGGCCCAATTTAGAGAAATACCCATATTGAGATGTCAGTAGCTCCAATGCTCTCGAAGGCCTGCGACTGGACTGCTCCAAACTTTGTTTTGCTTCAGCCGTCGCTTGCAAGCTAGAGGCCGAGGTCGCAAGGAGGTTTAGACCCCAAACCCTAAACCCAAAGCCCCTAACCTAAACCCCAAGCCCCTAAACCCTAAACTCCTAAGGTGATCTTATTCGGGATGCGCCTCCAGTTCTCTTGGCCCATGTAGGTGCCGAGGTCATTCCTGCAGCTGCTGACCCGGGTTTAGGGTTTAGGGGTTTAGGGATTAGGGTTTGGGGTTTAGGGTTTGGGGTTTAGGGTTTAGGGTTTGGGGTTTAGCAGCTTACAGGAAAAGCTCCTCGCGACACCCCGCCGAACTGCTCATGATCTCTTGAAGTCACGTGGCTTGCAGGGTCAAAGCTTCATACAAAGGCGTTTATGGGTTGCTAGGGGCTGTGGGTCAGTCTCGGTATGGTATTATAAGGGCTGTCAGGGGATACCGTGACTGATGATTCCGACCCCTGCATTACATCGATTGAGTAGAGCTGCTCCGCCGGCGGCACCGTATCGGCCGCGCTGAGGATTGACATTGCGTGCTAGGTATTGTGTGTTCTGGTGCCACCTTTCGGGACTTTGGGGTGGGCTCCATGACAGAGGCCTTTGCTATGCGTTGTTTTGGGTACAGGCTGCCGATTTTGGTCTCGGGGATTGAATTCGTGGTCTGAGCCGAAGGGTCACAGCATCGACGGCTTGGAGGGATCGGAGTGTGATTCTTCGTCACATACCAGACCCTCCATCTACCCTCCATTAGACCCTAAGTACCCATTATTTGGGACCATATGCCTTTCTTTGAGGGTACGAGGAGGGTCCTGGTAACCTAACGCATTCTACCTGACCTACATGTTGCGGTTCTCGCTCCCTTCCAGGTCCTACCACGCCGACGTAAACCGGATACTGCCCCACGGCAGCGTTAAGGGTTTAGGGTTTAGGGAAGGCACATTACTGACCCCCGGTGCACTCAGACTATGCATCTGACAAGTGGGAGTCTCATGATCCCCGTGAGTTTCTAGCTGTGCTTCCTATCACAAAGACCCGAAGTGCCCTCGACATCGGGCCGGTCGTTCACCACAGTCAAAGGGGCTGGTGTTAACTCGTGCAAGAGGAATTTCCCCCCTGCCCATGAAGCTTCTGGGAACTCGGGCAGACCGCTCTGCAACGATGCAGCCGACAGAACGTCGGAAGCCAAATTTCCAGGATGCAAAGGGGACACTTCTCACTCCACACATGTGCCTTCTCAGCCGATGGTGACTTTGAAGGACCCTACGGAAATCCATGCGTCGTCGGCAGAGAGTCCACCCTGCTCAGGGGCTGCCAGCGTCGCGAGAATCTTTGTCTCGCTCGCCAGGCTCATCGACACCGCTTCCTGGCCGCAGATGGGGGGCACAACACAAGACCAAGTGCCCGTTTCACGCAACACTAAGATGTAAGAGAAGACCCCAGGACATGGGACCTGCCGAAAGCTGCTCCGAAAGCTTCACAGAAGTGGTCAACTCCGGTGCTCTTGATCTGAAGCGCTTTTCTCCGAGCCTTTGCCACGCCTGCCCGATGCTTTGTCGGGCCAAACCTTTCAGAACGAGACTCCTAAACCCCTAAAACCCCTAAACCCCTAAACCCCTAAACCCCTAACCCCTCAACCCCTAAACCCTAAACCCCTAAAACCCAAAACCCCTAAAACCTGAACCCCCTAAACCCCGAAACTCCAGTGTTGACGCGGCGCCCGTCACGAGTGGAGCGGGCTTCGGCCGCTCAAGAAGCGAGGGAGTAGCGGTGGATCAGGACATCCTTTTGGAGCTTCGTGGGCTTTGTTTTGTAGCTTCGGAGGTCTAGGCCGGGTTTAGGGTTTGGGAGTCTATGGGTTTAGGGCTTAGGGTTTAGGGTATTCTAGGTCATCCCACATCTGAAGTGCTCTAGGAATCACCAGTCTCTGCAAAATCTTTGCAACTCAACAAGCAGTTCCTACTCTGCTACTCACGGCGGCTTTCATCTGCACAGCTGCTGCTTACTTGTATAGCAATGCCGACATGTGCCTTTCGGGCTTTGCATTTGAGAGCCATGGTTTCTGAAAGTGGGACCGCAGGGCAGTAGAACGACATGGCTTAGGGCTTAGGGCTTTTAGGGTTTAGGGTTTAGGGTTTTAGGGTTGAGGGTTACAAAGCCAAGAAAGATCCTCAGAGGCTACACAAAGCCTTCGCAGAGTACAGGCATGCTAAAAGTCATCTTAATTATGCCGCGCCGCCCTTATTTCTGGAAGTCGCGGGTTCCCACACTGCAAAGCTACCCCAAACCCCAAACCCCCAAACCCCTAAACCCTAAAGCCTATTGCCTAAACCCTAAAGCCTAAACTAACAGGGACGGCCTCTTGGTCCGTCCACTCGGCGTCCAGCATGCAGGAGTGGACGTACTCCTCAGCTTTTCTGGGTTCTTGTTAAGAGTTTTAATTTAACTTACCATGATAAGGAAACCATATTATCCACCATAGATCCCTATTATGGTAACTTAAATTAAACCCTTAACAAGAACCCAGGCTTTTTCGTCGGGTCCCGGCTCGTGGGGCTTAGGGCTCTCTACGCTCACACGGCCTGTCTTGGGGCTACGAGGGCTCTGGGTTTTCATACCCCTTGCTATAGGGACCCTGAGCCCGAAAGCCACGGTTTAGGGTTGAGGGTTCTAGGTTTCAGGGTGTGGGGTTTAGGGTTGAGGGTTTAGGGGAAAGGGATCTCCAAGCCAATCTGAGCCCAAGCTGCCAATCCAGGCCGCGGCTCCAGTCTCTTGCCGACGCTCCAGACGACCTGCACCAGTCACAAGGGTCATGCGTTCTAGTCGTTGCAACATGAATCAACACAGATGAGCGTGCTCCCCCATGAGTGGCCGGATGGAACCCCTGCCAATGAGTCAGAAGCAGAAGCAGCAGTTGCTGCTGGTGTTGGGGTCGTAATCATAACGACTTTCCGGCAACGATGCTGGCGGATCTGGCCACTGTTGGTGATGCTGGTGGTGGTGTTTTTGTTGCCTTTCTGTCGCCCGAAGAAAGAACCCTCAACCCGAAACCCTAAACCCTCTTATAGAAACCATATAGAAACCCTTAAAGATCTAAAAAGGACCCCAAAAAAGGGGCAAACACCCCAGGAGCCCGGGAACGTCCCCTCCCCGGCCTTTGCGTCCCCGCGCCGCGCCAGGAGATCCAGGAAGCGCTCCTTAGAAGGCCCAAAAGGACTCACTTAACAATTTGGACTTTCCGAAAATGAAGAGGTACCCTTATTTTGGGGTCCCTATAATAAGGATCCTACTATTTAGGGTACTATATCAGGATTCCCTATTTTCGGAAACCCCCACTGGGGACCTATGTAGAGCTCCCTTTGGGCTGGGCGCTTGCATAAAAAGTGGGGGCAATGGGGCTCTTTTCGAGCTCTGAGCAAGAAAGGAAATTGTGGCGCGTCCTCGTGCGTGGTCGCTTGGGCTTGAAGCCATTCCTGTGAACGCTGTGTAATAAACACGATCGAGGCCCGCAATAAGCCACCCGTGACGAGTGAATCGCCAAACCTTTCATCCCCGGACGGCTAGATCTCCAAAGCTAAACATCCACCTTCGGGTTCGGTTCGTGTCCACCGGCCTCAAGCCTGTGAAACCCTGGAGAATTGAACAGCAGCCTGATGCATTCAGAGCTTCCGCCACTTGCCGCGTGCCAGCAGGGAGCTTCCCAACCTCAAGCTCTTCGGCTGTTTTAACACAAATCCCATTTGTTTTATGACTGGATCAAGGTTTCATTGTAGGTCATCACGTAGCTTCTCATTCCACAGAGCCGGGACGATTGCTAAAACCGAAGTATTAACTCCTGCCCGGGCACTCGCCGCATCGTGAGCAGGAAGTGCGATGCACTCAATGCCTGCAGACAGTGCTGCGGTCGGGCCGTTTCTCCAAAAAGCGGTCACCTAAATTTTTATTCGCCGCCTTGCACATTGTGCCCAAAGCTGGGCATACCAATCCGGCTCTGAATCAAAGATCAATCCCAACGGGTCCAGGGTTCTCAAGCCTAAACCTTGGGTACTGGCCCCACACAGTAACAGTCTATAACAGGGCTACTATTAAGGGCCTTTTGCATCCATAAAAAGGAATATTACTCAACTGTTATAGTATGCTTACTGAGTGGGGGCAGTATCCAACCCTAAACCCCAAAACCCTGAACCCCAAACCCTAAACTTTAAACCCTAAGCCCCAAACCCCAAACCCTAAACCCCAAACCCTAACAACCCTAACAACCGTAAACCCTAACAACCCTAAACCCCCAAACCCTGAACCACCAGGAAACGGAAACCCGATGCATGGGCCTCCTCAGAGAGGTCTTCCAGGCAGTTGCCCTGCAAAAGCCTGCGTAGGGCTTTGTTTAGAAGGGGGGCAGCAATATACTATAATATGTTACAGTATATAGTATTATATGATAGTGTAGTATAGTATAGTATATTAAAGTGTATTTTGGGAAAATATGGCAGCACGATCAAGTTCGTGTAAGGGCTTAGGAGGACCTGTGCTTGAGCGTGCTGAACTCTCTCCATCATTCCTGCTTCGGGATTGCGAGTCTTCATGTCAGCATGTCATCCGCACATCAATTCTTCACAGAAGCGAGACCACGGTCAACGAAAGAAGTGGCAAGGGGACATCCAGACGGCTGAGAGAGATCAAGTTGCCAATCTCGAGAATCCGAATCCAAGCCCAAGCCTACGTCCACCGCTGGGCCTCATGCGCGCAACTTCCACACCGCTCAGTGCACCACGCGCCTGTTAGCAGACGAGGGACTTGCGCTTTCCAGGGTTTGAGAATTTCGCGTCTGCACTTTCTCTCGCCTGTGTCTGTTTGCCTTGGTAGAGACTGAAAGTATCTTGAACAGTACATGCGCCGCTCAAGGCGCTTCTGACTCCCTTTGACTCGACAGCTCCAGTGCGCGGGATTCTTGAAGCGTACCGCTCATGCGGTTGTCAACAGTCCTGAACAACGGTATGAAGTAATTCAAGATGTACGCGCCATGTTCCTGAACCTTGAGCGCATCTCGGACAAACCGACAAGGCCTTGCTTCGTCCACGCACAGTTCCAATGTTGAAAGACGACCAAGCGCCCACTTGCACCCAGCTCCGTTCTAGAAACTTTCTTCTGCAGATCACGAAAACTTTGATGTAAAGGGAATGACATGAACCCTCCGAAACCTGTAAAACTAGAAACCTAAAGTTCTATGATTACTACGCACAACCCCAAACCCCCCCAACATCCCTGACACACCCCACATGTATCCAACACCCTTCGACCCGGTAAAGCCCCTTCTTCTGACCCCTCTGGGCTCAGTGTTGGTTATCATTACCCCTAGAACTAGAACCCTTTGATCTCTCTGCGCTGCGCTACACCTCAAAACTCGAAAACTCTTGTTTGCACAAAAACCCTACATCCTAAACGTCAACCCTCTGGAAGGAGGCTTTAGGGGTTTAGGGGTTTAGGGTTTTTAGGGGCTTAGGGGTTTAAGATCTGAGCTCTCTCTCTCTCTGAG